AAAGTAGAGAGCTAATAGTCCTAAAACATCACTAGAAGGTGATTGAGTACAGAATCCAGTTTCCTATTCTCCAAAATTATGGATTACACCTTCAGTTCTACAACAGAGATAACATACTGTATTCAATTTTCAAATCCCTATGGCTTGTCTACTGTTCATTAAAAAAGTCAGTTTGTTCCACTAAATTTGCTCAGTAAATATTGCTGGCTAGGACAGGTACTGACAGACAGACAGCTCCTCTAGAGGACTAAATTTTCATTGCTCTTCTATGCCCTCTAGTGATAAGTAGTTTGAGGGATAAAGTATGAGAGATGCAAGGAGGGCTCTAGATCCTTTCCATGAAGAATTTTTAGATTTTGAAAATCTGCCTTCTTTTCAAAATCAGAGCAGAAACTGAAGACTTGGATATCCACTAAAACAGAAAAATCTGAAAATAAAAAATCTGTTCGGGTTGTACAAACTATTTCATTTTTATATTGGCTTTTTAAATTTTACACAAAATAATGTCAAAATGAAATCTCATTTCAAAGGAGCAAAATAATAATGTTTCATTCCAAAAAAAAGTCTGAACACTGATATTTCACCATTACTAAAATGAAATTAAAGCAAAACCTTCCCAACTGTGGAAAGCTTGGTTATCAATTCATTCACATACTCCAACGGCATATGGTTCCACTGAAGCTTCGCTGACTTTGTCTGTTCATAACTTTCTTGTCATCAGCCAAGTCCTTCAAACAACTACGCTTTGTTGGACAGAAGGCAACTTCTACTGGAGAAAGTTGTGACACGAGAAGAAGAAAGTAGGAACAATAATGTAAGTGCTTAGAAGTTCTACCAAAATTTATTTTGCCAATAAATTGGGCTGCACAAGTGCTCCTCTAATTTTTAACACTTCCTGTTTTGTCTGTCAGGCTCCAGAACGATAGTTCTACTTCTTTCTCTGTTTCCTGATTTGGAATAGAAAGTAGTTTCCTACTTTTTTCTCTTCAACAAAAAGAAATTTGGATCCTGTCTGACTCTTGATGAAATTTTAAGTCAGCTCTTAATTTTTTCCAAGCTAGTTCAATCATCCATGCTTTGTGGCATAGAAGTTGCCCTAGTTTCTGCCTTGATATTTTGTCTCTTCACACAATTTTTCAGTTGAGTTGGTTCAGTATAGAGTCAACTTGGGTATCTAAAAATAAATAAAGTATGTAGAACATACTTCAAGGTGACTCTCATCCAATCTAACACACACTTAACCCTCTTTTGCTGACTTGCATTTCCCATCACTCCTTCCATTCATCTACTTAAAACAAAAGTTTCTGTAATTTATTTTAACATGTATGGCTGTTCCTACCTGCAACATGTACAAAAAGAAAAAAAATCATTCAGAACATGAACACTTGATATAAGAATAAACAACAACTCTGAAGCTAGATCCAGAGCTAGTGTGGGTGGAAGCTCCATTTCTATCGTGGACTTAGCCAAAAACCTGAATAAAAAGAGCTCCTCATAGATTTGCGCCTCAAGCCTAATTCTATTCTGAAACAAGCAAAAATGGCAGAAAAGTACTTAAAATTCCTAGAACCACAATCTCAACAGGAACCAAAATTCAGTTTCAAGGAAGGGAAACAGCTAGATAGAAATTCTGCAGCTAAACACCTAATAGTTTACTGTTGGGTCCCAGGGGTTGGGGGATTCAGCGGCAATTTGGACTGGCTACAAGTCTGCAGCTACTCTCTCTAGCCTCTCCCCTCCCCACTTCCAGCCCCAGCACTGTCTTCAGAATGGGAGGGAGAAAAGGGAGGGGAATTCCATCTGGGGTTTTTTCAGTCAGCTCTGCAGGGTGGGGTGGATGGACTGGAACCCCCCCAACACCTGGGACGCAACAGCAAATGTCTGTTGGGTCTGGGAAGCGCTGTAACTCATGGCACTTCCTGCAAAGTGCCATGAGTTACTATGGGGAGCTGTACTTCTGTGTGTACCCACAATTGTTATCACCATCAACTTCAGAAATTAGAGGTGCACTGATATATCAGTACCATATAATATCGGCACCAATAAAAGGAAAATTAACACTATTGGCTATTGACTTTTTTTGGCGGCTGTAGCCAATAATGCCACTGATAAATACAATATGCCTTCTGGCCAAGGTCCCTGGATGCCATGTGCATGCATACAGCCACAGCATGCATGTGGCCAAGAATGCAGCCAGGCAGTGTGGAGAGCAGTGCCCTCCAAGTAAGTCATGCCTTTCCCTCCCCAACACCCCTTCCCAGCAGGGTGCTGCTCTCCACACTGCCGGTCTGTGCTCCTGTAAATGGTTATCAGTCAATACGTCTGGTGAATAATTGGCTATTGGTATCAGCCAAGAAAATCTTTATAGGTGCACTCCTATCAGAAATATTCAGAAGTTTTCACCCTGATCTCCACTGCTGTAATTAAGTGCCTGAGACTTGGCATCTTAGTTGCCAATTGCCTTTGTTTATAGCTAAAGCTGCTTATCTTCATGAGTAATACAAATTCTGAGTGATGTAGACCTGAGTAACTTAGGACATAACTTCCCACACTGCATGGCCATGGAAATCTGGTGGCCTGTCAAGAACTGAATATTCCCATGGTGCTAACTTTCCTCCTTGTTTCTACTTCCTAGCTTGCATTAAGAAGCACATACACTTCCCTAATGTTTCCCCTCACTTATGTACCTATCCCTTTTGTGTCAGGCATGTTCTTTCAACATCAATGAGAAGGCAGATGATCTGGATATTAGCCATGCCAGGCAAGAGGGTCTATGCCTTAATGAGTTTCTGAGTTAATAGGTATTGCCCACTAATTTGGTCTTGATAGATAACAGTCATAGTGCAACATATTTCTGTCTACAAAGAAGTAGTACTACACATTCTTCAAAAGCTGCATCTAAATATTACACTTAAAAGATGCTAATAACGTTCCATACAATCTTTTATGAGCAGGTCTTAAGAGAAAAAAAAATCAAATTTAAATATTTGTGCCACAGCTTCTCCATTTCTTGTAATCGACCCTAAACAGGAACACTGTGGTTCATGGCAGAGAGACTAATTGTAACAAAAGCAAGTATGCACTGGGACCCTTCAACAGCTTCGTCCCTGAATTCAATGACCATCCAAACATTGGTACTGTGGCTGCAGTTTGCAGAACAGTTCCCTTGTCACTATCAAGTTCATTTTTAGGTCTTCTTTAAGTGCAAATTTTCATCCATGGGGAAGATACAGCTCTGTGGCAGAATCTATACAGAAATCAAATAACCTCCCTGCCCCATCCTACAGCATAGGCCATAGGGGTACTAGCTTGCCTTATACTTCTCTGATACCATACTTCATCCTACTTTTAAGAAAACAGTACTTACAAAGTCTGAGGTGTCAGTCAAAGATTGCCTTCAGCTATGTCCATACAGCAGCTGGAGATGTGGCAACATGCACTGAAACTGATAGTAACAAGCGCTTCAGCATGGGCTAAAATCTCAACTACCTAACTACCTCAAAAGCTAGTTCAGGCTGAATCTTGTACTATTCTAGTCTTTTCCACTATTGTTATTCAAACTAGTTTGGGTATATCTGTAAAGCAATGCCTTTTACTGCACTGCAGATGCAGCCCTCACTGTCAGCAGTTTGTCATTTGGATAACCATCAGCTGGAAACCACTTTGATACCAATTCTTTCATTATGGCAAAGAGCAGGTGAAAATCAATGATGTTTTTCATCACCATGAATCTAAGTTAATTCCCATTTTAATTTTTCTTCAGCTAGTTGTCACAATACTCACACATTCACTAACTCTTTGTCCTATATTTCAACAAGCAGCAGTCTATAGGACATGCATAAAATTTCTTGAAAACATGAAGAGGGGAAAGGAAACCCAGAACTCTGGGCTCCTCTCAGACAAATGCATTAGAAGGGTTAAAAACAGCTCAATTTCTCTGCCAACTGTATAAATATTAGCTGTCTAAACTTGGTAAGTATTTTTGAGGTAGATGCACATAGTCCAAGAAGATAAGAGATTAAGGACCAAATACATATACTGAGATATATACATGTACCTGTAAATCAGGCTTTCACTTTGGTAGAAAAACTATACAAATATTTTCTTCATCCTCATTTATTTGCATTTGTACTTCCTGAGGTTTACTTTGAGTTCTAAGCTCAAAGAACATCTACAACTAGATGAGAGCTCTCAATTAGATACATGCTTATACCCCACAGCTTTCTTCAATTTTGGGATTTTATCTTGATGCACAAGATAAATTGGGTTAGTTGCAAAACACACACAAACACACACAGAACATGCAGTTGAAACCATTATTTCATACCATTTTGCAAAGATCAAAAGATACTAAATATTTTTCTGCACATTTTTTCATTTTGATGGATATGATGTGCTAATTCTTTCCCTGATTTAAAAACTAAAAAGTTGCTTGTTTAATGTTTTGAAAACTGCTTTAAAATTCTATTAGTCTTCCCTATTTTGTTTTCCTTGCCTCATGGAAAAATGGGGGATGGAGGGAAAAGTGAAAGACAGAAGCAGAGTCAGATTTTCAGTTTTCCTTAGAACAGGTTTGGCTGGAAAAAAAATTCAAAGAGCTCTAATTAAAACCAGGCCACAACCAGATAAGTCAGATTAGAAGTGGGCCACAGTTCACATAGCAGACTTGCAAGCCTTGAAATTAACCTTATGAAAGTTTTGAGTTTATACCCCAAAAGCAGATCCACACGTCATTTAGCATTAAGTATTGAAACACCATCACAGAAGAGGCAGCATGGAAAGCCACAGCTGTGTCTGGAGAAGGTAAGGAATCCAGAGGTTCAGAGAAAGCTCAGAAATGTTTTAAGGACACAAAGATAGATGGAACATGATCAGCAGTGATCCTAGTTTTCTATTTGCCGTAGATGAAGCTACCTCTGCCACAGTTTTTGCCTCTTGCCCAATCAGCAGTGCACCTCCTCTCGCCACCCCCTTCCCCCCCACCTCCCCTCCAGGCTGATTGGCCAAGAGGCAAAAAGTGCAGTAAAAATAAAAAGACAGCAGAAATGGCACCACTTCCAGGGGGATGGCACTGCACTTTTGGTAGGCCACAGAAAAACACAGAGTTTTGTGGGGTTTTTTAAATGGAGATTTTCTTGCTTTTTTTCCTTGTGTAAAACTAGGATCCCTGATGATCAGATACTTAACAAAATTTCAGTTTTTAGCTATTTCCAATATATCTTAAGATGAAGGGGTGAGAGGAAAAACAACAAATCAAAACCCTAATTAGAGTGGGAGGAAGATTCACATGAATGAAGAGGTCTGGGTTTTGCACTAATGTTTGCTACATTACATCTCAAAATGAATACCACAGCGAATAACACCCAACTGACTTACTAACATGCATATATTTGTCTTTTTGCACACAGCTTACCTCCCCACCCCAGTACCTTCCAAGAAAACCTCAACAGGAAACAATCTTCAAAGCACAAAAGTGCACCTGCAGCCTGCTCTCATGGATTTATTACACATGTCCCTAAAAATAAAGACAAGCCAAAAGAAAAACCTTGAAGTCAAAAGGCCCTGAGATTCTGAAGTTCAGATCCAAACTTTGCACCTGAGTCCAAGTTTATTTAAAATATTGTACAAAGAATAACAGCTTGTCTCTGTGGGGACACTGTTCCTTTAAAGAAAATCAGAGGTAGCTTCCAGTGTAATAAAGAAACAAAGACTTTCAGATGAAACTAGCAAAGCTCTGACTGATGCAGCCAGGAGGAGATGGATGCCTTTTTGGCTAGCCTGCCAGAACTGCTGCATAGGGAATCAGTAACAATGCTTGGTTTGAGTCCTGGATTCAGTAACATGAAGGATGCATGCACAAACAGCAAGCCATCACTGGGGAGATGATGCCAATAATTGGTTACATCTGCTTGAGAGTCCAGCCTCCTGTTGGCAGGCAAACAACCTCCTGTCACAGGCAGATGTGTCAAACGCATAGCCACAAACAGCCACGCAGCAGTGCTCGGTACTTAGTGTTCAGGTCAAACTGTCACAGCAACAAAAGAACAGACCTCAATGTATATAGTCTTAACTGCGCTTTGTTTGAAACCATGGCTTTGTTCCAAATAAATACATAAATAAATAAAACTACTGCATTTTGCACAGCTGGAAGACTCCAAATCCTCATAAGCAGAACAGGATTAAATTTAGAGTGAGAAACAGAGCTATCAGGATTTAGTCACAGCTCTGTCGCCTTCTAACAGAAGATTGTTTAACGCAATCACTGTAGCAGCAAAGTCGACCAGTTCCACGAAGTCTGATGTAATTATGTTAACGCCCATAACACCAGGTTTCTGTGTCTTTACCCAATTCAAAATCATAGGGAGGTTCCTAAAAGAAAAATAAAGACAACATCACTTTTAAAAGCCTTGGTTTAAAAGCACTTTGCTTTTTTCTGTGTTTGATAGCTTGCCTACAAGCAACAGTGATATTTTAAGTTTCTATTGTGCCATTTATTCCCCACATTGCTAACCAAATATGTATTGTACTTTAACAACACCAACTGCCTGTGGGAGAAAAATGGAAGTTGTACAATTAAATCATGGGTGAAAATATTGGCTAAAATCACTGACATAAACAACTGACCATAAAAATCTCCACGCTTTAAAAAGATTTCACTGAGTATATGGAATCTCAGATTTTAAAAGTCCCACCATAGTTTGTCAGGCTTTGTTTGTTTTCTTTTGCTGAAGTATTAATGAAATGAAGGCTTAACTCTTACGCTGCAATTTAAGACACTGTTGGGAATGTCTACACATAGCCCTACGGTGATGTAGTGATGTGCTACGTCACCATATGGTATACTACAGCAATGTAGTGATCACAAGTCTACATGTGATCAGCAGCTACACTGCCATAGTGGCATGCTTCCCCAGTATAGCATGCTGCTATGGCAATGTAGCAGCAAAATCTAACTGCGCATGGTGCAGTACAGGCTGTTACTACGCCATGCTTTAGTACTTCCAAAACTGAAGAATTTTGTAAATTGTTCTTTTCAAGACCCTGTAATGTGGGCTTGCAGAAGTTCTTATGCTTCTTTAAAACTCCTGGGTTTCAGCTGGAGCCAGATCTAGAAGTGACTAAATGTATCAGTATTCATTTATATTAGTCACTTAGTATGCCTGTTGCTTTACAAGAAGACAGAACAACCTATTTCACCTATTGGAATCAGCTAACCAAGGAATGTACCGCACATGCACACCATCCCTTCAAGGAAGTTATCAGTAAACAAAAAGGAGAGGCTGAGGGTAAAGGAGTCATTATTTCCAAGGGGAGTTACTCATTTTTTAATCATTTCTTTGTATTAGTTTCAGATGTTTCTTCTCTATCAGTTGGAACTTAAACAGCTTAATATTCATATTCAGACTGTCCCCACTCAATTGTAGTGACAGTGTTCATACACACAAGCAATCAGACTCTAAATATTTAGCCTCTTTTAAATGGTGTATACCATTATCATGCTTAATGGTGTATTTCATAAATGGTGTATACCATATTATATTTAAACTAGAATCACTCATCGACTTACCCGGTTTTCTCCAAACAACTTTTCAGGTAAACAAATTATGGTTGTGTATTTGAATCAGCGTTGAAACAAAATAAAATCACAGTAATACTGTGAAAATAATTTACTGATATTTGTTAATTACTTAGATAAGAAAGGTTATGTGAAAGCTTTAACACATTAGAATGATACTGTTATACATACAAAACAGCTGCCATGAATCTATAAATACAAGACTTTCTATTGCAGGGTTGTTGGTTGTAGCCATGTTGATCTAAGGACAGGCAGGCAAGGTTCTTTGGGTAGATGTGATATCATTTATTAAACCAACTAAATAGTTGGAAAAAGTTCTTTGCAAGTGTTTGGGCAAAAACACCCCCTCAGGCATTGGGAGAGTCTGCAGAGTCTCCCGATGCCTGAGGAAGGGTGCTCATGCCCGAAAGCTTGTGGAGAACTTTTTCCAACTATTTAGTTGGTCTAATAAATAATATCACATCTACCCAAAGAACCTTGCCAGACTTTCTATTGAGCATTTTGAATAAAACACAAATTTAGGTTTGCATAACTTATTACCTAAACACAAAAGCCCTTTACAGCAGGCATTTTGGCACCATCTAGTGCTCAATGTACAGAAAACAAAACAGTACACTTCAGAGGGTAAAGGCAACTTGACATCTGGATGTTACCAATAATATCACATCACTTGGCTTTAAAGGTAATTCTTTCTTTTGCAAGACTAAATACTGTGGAAAAGCAAATGCCTTGGAACTTCACTGCTCACTGAAAAACTGAGTACATTCTAGATTCCCATTTTTTAAATGTTCTTAAAACGCTTCTAAAAAAAAAGATATTAAGAAAAAAAGTGTAGTGTTTTGTCATTGTTGTTTTTACAGAAGAACGCTGTATAAACCACTAGAAGAATGATATCTCTCTGCAAGGAACTGTAAGTCTCTTTCAAGGTAGTAACAGCTAGAGTTACAGTTCCTTGCAGAGTGGTAAAGTTCTTGAAAATTTGCTTTGAACGTCAAAGGCCACAGAGCTAATAATTGCTAACACATGACAGTCTCAGTGTCTGGTATTCAGTTCAGTAAGTGATGTGCTCATTTGGACAACTGATGTTACAGTAGCAGCTGAAGTAGGAGTAACAGCACAACAGAACAAAAGAAGCCGGCTTGACAAACCACTGAAAGGAATGGGATGGATAGTATTCAAAAGTAAAAGGGGGAACCAAATCCCAGTGTGAAATGTTACTTCTCTCTGATCAGGAACACAGGCTACCAAACACAACAGAAATACATAAGCCCGATCCAGGGAAATAATGGGCCCTGCACATGCCTTTAACAACACTAAAAGTTAAAAGGGCCCAAGACTTTTCAACATTGGACCCCTTCTTATTTCAGCTATTAAATTAATTATTCATAGATAAATACACTGGAAAATCCTTATTGTTCATATCTCTTTTTGGTGGACAAGCAAATCCAGGTCTTATGCTGGTCTAGGTCGTGTGTGTATGGGTGCAAGTGTTACTCAAGTCACTGGGAGAGGTATACATACAACCAATGGCAGCTGTTAGCCCACAGAAAAGGATGATACTGGATTTTATTCCTATAAGCTTCTTTTGTTCCCCTTAACTTTATTTTTAAGTTCAGCTGACTTAAGGCTGGCCAACAGTAGGTAGGAGCAGGTCTGACTTTTTTTTTTTTCCGTGTAAAAATTAAGTTCAAAATTAGTTTATTCTTCTATATCTTTGTTGGGACCTGAAAGTATCCACACATAAGGCCAGCCATGACGCTTTACCCTAACTGCACGGGGTGCAAGGCTCTGAGTTACGTGAATGATCAGTTATTAGTAAAGCAATAATTTAAGCAAAGTCTTGGCAGTTACTTGCTTATTTATTGTAACTTCGGCATCAAGGAAGGACCTGAGAAGCCCAGGAACTGGGGAACAAAGATAAACACTTACCTGTGAACTAGTGTATTTTTTAGGCCACGGATTAGATGCCGGGCAATGGTTTTGACTCTAGGAGTGAGAATAGCTTGAGAAACGTGGAAAGTTCCATACTGAGACCGCTCCCCAAGGGTAGTCTCTAAAAACTGTAAAAGTTTGTGCACATTTGTTGTGTTGGCCCATGGGGCTGGCATCTTGTTTCCTGGCCACAGAAAGGAATAATCCTGATACAGAGGGTAATGGTAGAATATGAGAACCTACAGCAATTGAGAGAAAAAAAGGAAAATTTTATTTACAGAATAATAAATTTCATATTTCAGAATTTTAATTTATCAGACTCTCTCAGTTTATAGAGGAAGAATTAACACTTCATTGTGCCCATATAGGCACAAATTTTGGAGTGCAAGTGCATGCATGGTAAATATTAGTGGCTGGGGGACTCATGATAAATATTAGTTCATTGTAGTGTTGGCATAAACTAAAAGGAAGTAATCTTCATTACATGCTACGCTGGGTTAAAAGAGTCACTAGAGTAAAAAAAAAAAAAAAAAAGAGTATAGTTTACAGAAAAACATTGAACTCACATTTAAAACTTTTTAGTTCCAAATGTTCTTTTCATTTCACTCCTAATATTTAACAGACAGAATTCCTGATACCTCTTATGTAAGGAAAACAATGATGAAGTGTGAAGCTATGCAACTTGTAACAAGTTAACTGATTGTAACATAATGAATGAGGTTGCATATTGGTATCAAGCAGACGTTTAGGATAAGTATAGAGAGTCAAAAGCCCCAGGCTGAATCGATTCAATTTTTGTAGGTTTCTCAAAACTGTATACATCGAACTGATAAGCAAGTGAAATCATGTTTACTTTTGAAACCAGAAAGGCAGCCAGATCCTTGCAGTGGCCCATGCCAGTAGTTGGGCAGGGGGTACACGACAGAGCACGCCTCCCAGCCTGCTGGCCACTGCCGAAGGCACCCATATGCAGCAGAGTAGGGCTTGTCCTTGATCGGTTGGCCAGCTCATGCCCCTCAGACACTTGTGGTCTCCCCCCGGGGGGGGAAGAGTCCCTTCAGCCAGGGTCTGGTTGGATCTACCAACCTCAGAGGGGGTTCCCGACCCCTGACAGGGTCCCCTAAGCCCTGCGCTGGTGTAGAGAGGGGATCCCTGCCCCCGCCCCATTACCAGATTTAATATTAGATTTGGGGGTGGAAAGGAGGAACCCACCCCTCCCCCCTGGCCCAGCACTAGATCCCCAGCTGGGTGTTGCCCAGTTTTGGGGAGAGGGGAGAAGGAGCCTGCAGTGGGAGCTTGATGCTAACCACCCAAACCCAGGCTGGAATCCTTCAGCCTTGCACCCTCCTCAGCCTCCAGGCCAGCTGAGGAGTGGACGGGTTCCCTCCCAACCAGCCGGAAGAGTGATAGTGCTTCAGCTAGGAAACAGAGGGGTGGAGCAGACCCTACTCTGCTGGAACAGACAGCACAGCCCAGGGCTGCAAAGAATCCTGGGATGCTGGGGGAAATGAATTAACCTGAACTGGGAGAGGATCTGGGACAGAAGTTCCATAAACGGATTTGACCTAAACCAGTTAAGTCTGATACTCCATCCAACCAGGTTTATCTTTAACCAGTTTCATCCATTTTAAAAGGAGTTTAAGTGCACTGAGCTTCTGCTCTGTTACAAGTTTAAATTGGTTTCTAATCACTTAAACCAGTTTATGTGCAACTTCTATCCCTAGCCTTAATAGGTGAAATGCCAAAGCCCACATCATTGTGTTAGCTAGCTAAAAATCTTAGGTTCCTGATTCTAAGAGCTTTATTCCAAAGGTAATATTAAGGAACAGCATAGGAAGGCCCAACAAACATCCAGGAAGAGTCTGAGTTATCAAATTCAGATCCAGGGTCAAATATATTAATACTGGACCTTGTTCATCCCATCTGGGACTTCTTAGCCTGATTTGTGCTGTTTCTAGAACTGAACATGCAAGATTTTTAAGAAAATTCATTTGTAGGGTTGGGGGTTCAACTCTAGCAAATATGGATATTAAGTGTTTTAACCCCAGCATTTTTTTGGCAAGATCATGGGATCTATGGAGACTCACCTGGAGTTACAGCAGTTAAATGTTTCTTGTTAACTGCTTTGACACGGGATTATTTGCCTCTCTCAGGTAGGGCCCAGGATTTTAGGCAACACAAATAAATAGCAATCACCATGCTCAGAACCAACCTCAGACTCATCTAGATTTTAAATATCCCTCACCTGCTGTTTCAACTCCCACAAATATTGCAAAGTAACTTTTTCTACAGGTTGCACTGGGCAAAGTTTTGATCCAAATGCTTTCTGTATCCTGCTGATCAGGTACAGGTGGTGACTGTCATCCATGGCATAGAAATGATTGAAATCCAGGAAAATGACTTCTCGGGGGTGTTGCATGAGGAAGCTGTTAATCTCCATCAGCCCATCCAAAACTCTGATGCCAAACAAGCCATGTATGAAGTAGATCTCCTTCTCCACTTCTCCTGGCTTGGAAGATACACGCAGATCGAAGTAGCGGATTCCACTTTCCAGCTGCTCCTTGAAAGTCAGGTTTTGAGTAACTGACCACTTCTTCATTAGCTTTTTAACCAAAGAAATTTTAGCTAAACGTTTAACTGCTGTTGCTTGGTCTGGTCCCACTGGAGATTTCTCATCAACCCAGTAGCTGAAAGAATCATGTGACCCTGGAAATAAAAAGCCAAGGTGAATTAATGCTATAACTGAAATTATTTTTAAACATCCTTTAAGGAAAAAGGGTTCATTCAAGATACTAAATTGGGACACTGGAGATTTGGCCCCAAATCTTGACCCTAGCACACAGCTTTGTTGTGTTTCCTTTGTTTCTAGAAGAGAATGGAGAGGGAGAATTGTAACAAATGAGAACAAGAGTTCCTTTGTCTTATGTAAGCAAGTCTGGGAGCTCTTCAGAATTAAAATAGTTTCACCACGTGCCTGCACAATTCCTAGCATTATGCAGATGCCACCACAGTACAAGTGATGAATATCAATGTTATGGAGTACTGTTTACTCCATTTGCCTCTTGCAGTTTCACAGGCAATCAAGCAATACTTAAGCTATTCACCACAGCTCTCCTACCACCTGCAAGCACAGGAGTTTAAAATTTGGGGCTCTTCCTTTTTGGTGCAAGAAGCAATGACTGACCAAGATTTTCCATTTTATTTCTAGCCTTAATATATCATAGCTCTCTAGAGTTGTAAGTATTCCCATCCTGCCCTGGTGAAATAACTGGCTGCCTAAGGCACCAAAGCTCTTGGTGTATCCACAGGTAAGGGCTGAATGAGACTTCTCTTAGGGTGCATCTACACATTGCCCTATGGTGACGTTGTTACAGCACTGTGCTTTAGGACTTCCAAAAGGAAGTACTAAAGCATGGAGCAGTACCCACACATACTGCGCTGTATGGTCACTTTTAGCAGCTAGTTCATTGTAGTGGCATGCTAAAATGGGGGAGTGCACTAGTAGCTGCTGGTCACATGTAGACACCCGTGGAAGCTATGTTGCCATAGTGCATTGATACGGCAATGTAGCATCAGATGTAGATGCACCCTCAATGTATTAATGTGCTTCAGCCTCAGGCTTGAGAAATCATTTCCAGACATGGAATGATCACTCAATCTGCCATCTTATGCGCTCCTTGGCCTCTCTGCTGAAATTGCTAAACAGTTAGTACCAAAGATGCTAACTTTTGGGGATGGAAGCCCAGTTTCATCTAGGAAAAGAGGCTATTGCCTCTCTGATCAATGGTGCACTCTCTCCCCAAAATGATATTTTGCAGTTTCTCCGCTAGGCCTGAACTCAACCCTTTTCTCCTGGTCCAGGATCGACCAGGGCAGGAACTGAAAGAGCAATACACACATGCAGCTGATTCTGCAGTTGGTCAAACTGCAGGCAAAGTGTTTTGGCAACTAGGAGAACCTAACACCAACGCTAGCTCCTTTAGTCCTTGTTACCTGCTTTTTTGCTGCCTGCACTCCCTGCCTATGGAGAGCAACTCCTTCTCCAGCCATGACATGATCTAATCCTTTGGCATATTATCTCAACTATCTGCTTGCCTCCCCTCTCATCTATTCAAATCTATTAATTTCCTCTGCCTTTTCCCTGAATGTGCACACAGTACCACCCTGTCAGATTCCTGCTTCTCTACCCCTGTACTTGAACTAATTCAGATTTTATTTTAGGACTGCTCATGTGACTGTAGCTGTGTTTAATGGGCACCTGAACAGGCAATGGGACCTGTCAGGTGCCTGCTCATTTGAAGACTAACCCTTTTTCTGGAGGGCAAAATCAGCCTATAAATCAGATTATGATCTCAAATGGGATTACCCTGTTAGGATTTTTAAACTGCCAAAGAAGCAAAGATTGTTAATAAATCAAACATCAGTTGCAGCATTCCAAGATATGCCAACTATAATCAGATTCACCACCCATTCCCTACTTCTTTGTTTAATCCATTCCTTTTCAACAGCCATGTTCAGGCTTTGCCAACAAATAAGGAAAACAATATCCTAATGTGTCCTTCGTTTCTGAAATTCGTGCAGCTCTTACATGGGTTTTTTTTGGAAATCAAGAGCTTTAAGAAAAACATGGAAATATGAAAACTGTTGGAAAGAGATGATTTAGCTGGTTGTAACAGAAGAATACAATAAGAAATAGCTGCCAGTTATGGAAACAGCATTTCTTTTGTACAGCATAACAACTATAATAGTTTTCTTTCCAAACATGCAACCCTGAATATAAACCATTCTTCTTGTAAGGGATCATACAACCAATAACTAACAAAAGAAACCAGAAGTTACTTTAATTTCTGGCTGTAAATCATATAGACATCTGAGAGCTTTTAAGCTTTCTTTTGTAGTATAATAAGCTTATTTCTGACAAACATTCTATAATGAGTATAGATACAAGTTCACAAAAGCTTTTTTTTCCTCTCTCTTGTGTGCACACTTAAATTTCACAGAAGAGCAGTGTTTATCTGTGTTAGTCTGACATCAGAGAGAAGATAGGAAAGCTCATGCCTGTCTGATCTAAGCAACAACCTGCTTTGTTAGATGCTATGAATGGACTCTCCATTGGACTGCAAAGTGAGAGAATTTTCTTTTCAAAGTTTGCAAACATGGAAAAGGCATCAATCCAGGCCTAAATGAATGAGGTCATGCTTTGCATTTGACAAATTAAGTTCCTGCTTACGAAAGCTCTCTGAATCAATCAGTCTCAAAGGGTATGTATAATAGTCACATTTAGATTTACCTAACTAGAATTAAGTTAAGTGAAATGCCTGAATTGTACAGGCGTTCAGGGGGGTTAAATAAGGCAAAAATGCCAACTAACTTAAACGGGGAACAGGTTAGCCCAATCCAACACCTGTATACGTTCAGATCACAGACCCAGAGCTGGGAAAGCCCAGTCACTTGCCCCAGCCCCAGCCCTAACACTGAGCTCTTCCTAGCTTCTCCCCCCACAACCCTGAGAAGGCCATTTGTTAGCTCCCTGACTCCTCCCTTCAGACCTACTAGCTCCCCCACCTCAATCCCATCCCACCCACTCCAAGGATATTTCTGCATGTACTTCAGGGGTAGAGGGGGTGCTTTAATTACAGCGGCTCCGAGAGCAGCTGTAATTAAAAGGTCCACAAAGTTTCATGTACCAGTGTCCCTGTGCTTCGAAGTGGCAGTGAGGGCCCTTTAACTAAAGTTCATTCAATGAGCTTTAGTTAAAGCACCTCTGCTGCCATTTTGAAGTTTGGGGATACTGATACACAACACCTTGAGGTGCCTGGAGCATGCTAATTAGCATGCTCCAGCAGACTTGAGTCTGCTGCAACATGTAATATAGCACCATGGAGCAGCCTCCCTGCATGTCTACAGGCACCCCCAAGTTACTTACTCCTATTTCCCCACACAGTTCCCAGAACAGGCAAACGCCTGTATACTCAGATCCCGGTCTACGTTCACACAGCTTAAAGTGACCCTTGTGAACACAGACTGTATGTACACATCCTAAGGTGAATGTCTGTACACATCCTAAGGTGCCACTGCACCCTACATTTTATCTGACAGGAGAAAAGGAAAACCTAAAATAAACTGAAACTACTGGTTTTTCATTTGCTCTTTTTTTTTCTATTGATCAATGCAGGAGCTATGTTGACATAGTCCATTAGAAAAAAGCCCTAAAACTTGTGTTAATGTGGTCTCGCCACTTAGAGACACATTTTCTCCGTCACAATTAATAGAAAGTCTCTCTCAGTCAGCAGGTCTAAGTGTTAAGTCTGCAACCATCAGTGATATTATCTTCTGTTCATGGCATCAGAACAGGAGATAGCATCAGGCATCACATATGTCCACACTGTGAAAGCAGCTAAGAGATGAGATGTAGGGTGGGGTGTAGGGCAGGGTCTGGTAGCCAGTCCCCTGAAAGTGGTGCACCCCAGTGTGGCGAGATCTTGCAGGTTGCGTCATCTCGCGAGAGCCGTGAGATTTAAACTTTTAAAGGCCCAAGTGAAGTAAAAAGTCCAGTTAGGCCTAGCTCTCAGGCAGAGATGCATGGGTGCAAGCCCATCTCACTCCTGAGAGCAGAAGACCCTGGTGGACCCTGACCTTAACCCCCAGCACAGAGCCAGGAGGTAAGTGGGGCCCAAAGCAGGAGGGCACTAGTCAGGCATAGGAGGCAGCTGAGAGGAGCTGAGGAAGGTCATGCCCTCCCCCCCCCCAGCTCTCACTTAGCCCAGCCCCCAAGCGAGCCATGCAACCGGAGCCATGCCAACAGGCATGCTCTGGGCCCCGGCATGTGAGTTACTGTGGGAGTTCGCACACGAGGGGCACAAAGCTGTAGGAAGGGAGCCTGAAGAGAAGGGTCGGCACAGCAGTTGCTGAGACTACTACTTGTGCAATGGTGGTGATGCACCAAACACCGAAGATCCCCTCTGCCTCAGGGATCCCCCACTTCTTGCACTACTGAGGCCTCCACCCAGACAGAACCCATGGTTCTGGCCTCCACTCAGATGGGGCTCCTGGTTCTCAGCTCTGAGGGCTGCCTGGAATGACTGCAAGCACCTAGGATCAGGAGCAATGACACCACCCCTCATGGTTTGCTCTGCACTGGAGTCTCTGGAGTGACAGATAGGGGTGCTCCATGCAGCACTGCAGAGGCTGCATGCCATTGGGGATGGCAAAGAGGAGATCGACTCTTACTGCCAGACTCTTCACCAGAAGAATGAAGAGGGGAGCGCAAGTATGGCTTGCAGGACAAGGGTGGACAAGAGAAGCTCCTGTGAAGTCCAGCTAGGGAACGCTTAGACAAAGGTTGTCTCCAGCCCCAAGGCACGCTGTGCCAGGTCATCACCTGCCTGGATCTTCACAACAGGTATGAACTCCTCATAGCACCTGGAGAGCCAGCTGAGCTGCCAGCCCCAGCACTCAAGGAAGAAAGGCAACTTGCAACCAACCCAAGGAAGAAATGCAGAGTGATCGTTGTGGGTGATTCCCTCTTGAGGGAGACAGAGAGAAGGATCTGTTGCTCCAACCCCTTGGCCCATAAGGTCTGCTGCTCCCAGGGGCCCACATCCTAGATGTATCTGAGAGGATCCTGAAACTAGTCTGGTCTTCCAGCCACTACCCCATGCTCCTCATCCATGTGGGCACAAATGACATGGCTCAGAGCAATCCCA